TCATAACACTATTGAACACTATTGAACTTTGGTTAAATGCATGTAGTATCCACAAGTTTTTATCCGTTATCAATAACACAACCCCTACCCGAAAAAAAAAAAAAAACATATATCGATTCGCACTGAATTTTAACAAAACCGAAATAATTTCCATGTCTGAAGATGACTGAGTGTATAGTCGAAAGTACTTGCGAATTTAAGAAAGACCTAATACAGATTATAATTTAAAAAAAATGGCCAAAACATTCATCGAGTGATTGGTAGGTTAATGCATCTTTAAAAAAGGGATTTCGAAATTTTATATCATTAACTTTACTAATTTTGTATGAATGATTCATTTTAATATATATATATATATATATATATATATATATATATATATATATATATACTAGAAGCATGGCCCGGCGTTTGCCCGTGCTTGATTAAAAATCGTACGACTCATACAGCAATCGCTATCACTTGACTTAAAATATTTTTTTTGCCCTTCCTTGCCTTTAAAGGAGTGCCCTTTGCCGTGCTGATGTTGCTACATGCCTTGCACTTCTTGCCTATCTCACACTGCGAATGTTTTGAAGCTCTATACTAAACATTAAATCTGTTACGAAAAAAGAACTAAACAAAATGAACACAAAACGATCAGCTTTAAAAAAGGACTCGTAACTGGAAAAACCGAATGAAAAAAGAATGTTAACAACAAATACTTTTTCACACCCAACCCACTTCTGTGGAATCAGAATCAACGTTGAGTTTAAGCAAGCGAATGAGCCAATTGGATTAAAGTGCCATGCAGATTTAAATTTTTCCCACTTGTGACGAATGCAGCTATCGATTTTTTTTTGCATGCTAGCATACTAGTTAACATTCGTGTCAGTCAGCTGTTGGCTCTCACGCTTGCCAATAAAATCTTCCTGCCTATTCGTGGCATCCAGCTATATGCTCTCACTCTGGCCAGTAGAAAATGGTCGCAAACTACATGAAAACTGCCGTAGAAGCATGAAAAAATAGATTATTTCTACTATCGATGGGATTTGGGAAATGCATTGTCGGTCTTAGGTTCCCGCTAACTTGGAGCATGTGCATGTAAATTTTGATGCAAATCCGTCGAAAATTGCGGCCGTGCATTCGTTACACACACACACACACACACACAAATCCTGCCTTTTATATATATATATATATATATATATATATATATATAGAGAGAGAGAGAGAGAGAGAGAAAGAGAGCGAGAGAGAGAGAGTGAGACATTTCTCTTCTATACAAGTTTCGTTATACATGATTATTAAGTTACATGACCCGGCATGTCGATATCGTGTAACAGCGTAAGATAATTGTCCATCCCACAAAATGTTTAACATCTTAAAAAAAAAAAAAAAAAAAATACACGAAACTAATTCAGTTTCATTTTCCTGCTTTTCAGACAATTAGTCATCTTGACACTATTTCAATCATTGAAAAACTCTTTGAACTATTCAGTTAGAAAATGGGGACAGTTGAAAATAGATTCGTGTCAGTCCGTAATGCATCTTCCCAAATGAGCAATGTTTAGAGGAAAAAAGATCATTTAGGCCTTCAGTAATTGCACCAGTATTAGTACTCTGGCTACCATCTTCAATGTCCATTCAAGAACCATCAAGAGAACGGTGAATAAGTTTTAAAAAAGAGGGAACAGTAGAGAGGAAACCTGGATCAGGAAATGACAACAGGAGCTAAAGCGAAAAAGAAAACATTCAACTCAATCCATAAGACCTTTTGCACGTAAAAGAGTGGTTTCAACTATGGCAGTCCAAGGAGAAATGAAAAAAGACTTGAAAATGAAATCATACGTGAAACCTTTCAAGCAACTTGGTATACTAGGACAGTAAGTTAGAAGTTTAAAGAAGGCGAAGATTATCTTGAATACATTGGAAAATGATCCTGAAATAATATATATATATATGCAATAGAATTGGTCCTGATCTGGCATCTCGTCTGCAGTCGCTCTCTCACAAACGCGCCGTCGCCTCCCTCTGTCTTTTTTACAAATACTTTCATGGTAACTGCTCCGGTGTGCTGCTTCCGCTGGTTCACAGACTTCATGAATTTAAGCGCTCAACTAGGCTGGCATCTCGCTCTCACCCTTTCACTGTCAAAACTGTTAAAAGTAGCTGTCTATTCTACTTCAATAGCTTCATGTCTCGCACTTCTCGCATGTGAAACTCGCTCCCCATTTCTTGTTGCCCTGAGAGCAATAATCTCTAACTATTCAAATGTAATGTCGACGTCTCCAGATGCCTTGATCTATCCCCTATCCTTCTCTTCATCCTTTCCTCTATCACTCCTCTTTGCTCTCGCTCCAACTCTCTGTAACCCCTTGCGTGCTAGTGGCTTCCCGCCTTGCTTGGGGTGAAACGCTTAATATATATATATATATATATATATATATATATATATATATATATATATATATATATATAAAGAAATTTATATCAATCCTTAATGAGCTTCCGATCCTTAGCTACGATTAATTAATGATAACATGCCATTTTCATTTGTGATCGAATTAATCACTTCTGTTAGGCTTGGAGAGCAATTATACATTCTTTTGGCTCGAAGCAGAGTAGAAGAGTTTTATAAAAACCTCGGAGAATTCCAGTAAGATATCTTTAATCATTTCTCAGATACAACAGTTCAAATCTTAATCTGACAATTTTGCTGTTACACCCGATAAATAGCGAGATCGGCTATATCATTACACCTTGGCGGATCAAAACTGATGCAAAGATAAAGAAAAAAAGGAAAGAAAATACAGGTGAAATAGGCTGTGGGATGTACTCAAAACACTTATTTAAAGAAAAATTAATTTGACTGTGACATTCTCAGCGTTCACAATCCTAAACAGGAAAAATGGGGTAAACTTCTACTCTTATTCCAAAACCTGGGGGGGGGGGGATTGTGTAACCCAGAGGATAGGCGAACCTATTACTCTTAAGGAAAAAATGATTATGAAATAGAATTTCATAGTTCAGAAGGAAATTTTAGAAGTATAGAGTTGAAGTAAACATTAGAATATATATGAAAATACATTAGCCAATGATTTTATTATGAAAATGCATTGCCAATAATTTTTATTATGAAAATGATTTTTATTATGAAAATGCATTGCCAATGATTTACAAGCAAATTGTATTGGACAATGATTTTTATTATGAAAATGCATTTGAAATGGTTTTTACTACGAAATTGCATTGCACATGATTTTTATTATGAAAATGCATTGCCAATGATTTTTATTATGAAAATGCATTGGTCAATGATTTTTATTATGAAAATGCATTGACCAATGATTTTTATTATGAAAATGCATTGACCAATGATTTTTATTATGAAAATCGATTGACCAATGATTTTTATTATGAAAATGCATTGACCAATGATTTTTAGTATGAAAATGCATTGGCCAATGATTTTTATTATGAAAATGCATTGGCCAATGATTTTTATTATAAAATGCATGGCCAATGATTTTTATTATGAAAATGCATTGGCAATGATTTTTATTATGAAAATGCATTGGCCAATGATTTTTATTATGAAAATGCATTGGCCAATGATTTTTATTATGAAAATGCATTGGCAATGATTTTTATTATGAAAATATATTGGCCAATGATTTTTATTATGAAAATGCATTGGCCAATGATTTTTATTATGAAAATGCATTGACCAATGATTTTTAGTATGAAAATGCATTGGCCAATGATTTTTATTATGAAAATGCATTGTGTGATTTTTATTATAAAATGCATATTGTGATTTTTTATTATGAAAATGCATTGGCAATGATTTTTATTATGAAAATGCATTGGCCAATGATTTTTATTATGAAAATGCATTGTCCCATGATTTTTATTATGAAAATGCATTGGCCAATGATTTTTATTATGAAAATGCATTGCCAATGATTTTTATTATGAAAATATATTGGCCAATGATTTTTATTATGAAAATGCATTGGCCAATGATTTTTATTATGAAAATGCATTGCCAATGATTTTTATTATAAAAATGCATTGCCAATGATTTTTATTATGAAAATATATTGGCCAATGATTTTTATTATGAAAATGCATTGCCAATGATTTTTATTATAAAAATGCATTGCCAATGATTTTTATTATGAAAATCCATTGCTAGTGATTTTACAAGGAAATTGTATTGGACAATGATTTTTATTATGGAAATGCATTTGAAATGGTTTTTACTACGAAAATGCATTGCACATGATTTTTATTATGAAAATGGATTGCCAATGATTTTTATTATGAAAATACATTGGTCAATGATTTTTATTATGAAAATCCATTGCCAATGATTTTACAAATGATTTGAAATGGTTTTTACTACGAAAATGCATTGCACATGATTTTTATTATGAAAATGAATTGGCTAATGATTTTTATAATGAAAATGCATTGGCCACATTTTTTGAAAGAAACGAATGCAGAGAACTGGGGCGCAATGCACTGCCACATCTCTTCAGGCCCCTTCTTCGAATTAACCAAGGCTAAATAGTATCGCATGGTCTACTTTTTAACACGTAACTAGGGAGAAACGAAGGCATGCATCCATACATTTCCCGATGTTATTTCAATGGACGAAATAGATTGGAATTCGAACTCTGAATCGCTCATTTGCTATACATAACAACACTCGCATATATATATATTAATAAATATACATATGTTTTAATATTGAAATAAGAAAACATATCTGGCTCTCGAAGTGCGAAGTATTGCGAATTTCTGAGTCGATCTTCGATAAGTAATTTGAACTTTCGTTATTTTTTACAATCTTTATTGTTCTTGATAGTATTGAACCATTTCTTTTAAAATTTGAATTGACATGGATTCAGTTATATCATTTGGCGTTTATTAACAATCTATCTATCTATCTATCTATCTATCTATCTATCTATCTATCTATCTATCTATCTATCTATCAGATTGATATTTAAAAAAAAAAAAATTTCACAAATCAACAATTCGCCATTGCATGGAGTATTGCTGCCATATATGGACTGGAGCCCCTTCTGTTTGTCTCGGGGTTCTTGATAGACTCCAGAGGCAGATATGCAATATAATTGGCCCTGCTCTTGCATCTCGTCTACAGTCGCCTCTCTCTGTCTGTTTTACAAATACTTTCATGGTAATTGTTCCGAGGAGCTGCATTCGCTGGTTCCCAGATTTCATGAGTTCAAGCGCCCTACGAGGCTGGCATCCCGCTCTCACCCTTTCAATGTCGAAACTCCTAAATGTAGCCGTCTCTTCTACTCCGATAGTTTCATGTCTCGCACCTCTCGCCTGTGGAACTCCCTTCCCTATTCCAGTTTCACTGAGAGCTATAATCTCCAGCTATTCAAATGCAATGTCAATCGACATCTCCAGTTGCCTTGATCTATCCACTACCCTTCTCCTCATCCTTTCTTCTTTCACTCCTATCTGACCTTCTGTAACCCCTTGCATCCTAGTGGCTTCTCGCCTTACTTGGGGTGAAACGCTAAAAAAAAAGTAGCCTTCACAGATCCACTGTTATAGCTTTGTCTAATGTTGATACTATCTATCTATCTCCCTATGAATTACGTATTTCCCTATCTATCTATCTATCTATCTATTTTAGTCCGTTCATATCCTTTCTTTCTTTCTTTCTTTCTTTCTATCTATCTATCTATCTATCTATCTATCTATCTATCTATCTATCTATCTCGGTCTATTTTTTATTATCTTACATACATATGCAAAATATATAAATACCCATACATGTATATTTTTAGAAAAAAAAAAAATTCCAAGAGGAAAAATCCAGGTAGAACTCAATGTCTAGGACAGAGTAAGGATATAGTAAAAAGGCTTAAACACTAATATTCCATAGTCATAATTTATTCCATTGGAATCGTAAATACGATCCAATTCATCAGACCTACAAATTCAAAAAGAAAACAGAAAAAACAACTCCGGAAATAAAACAGAATTTAGAGAGAGTGTAAGTATGAGGAGGAGGAGATTAAACTTAACAGAGAGAATTTTTAGGAGAGGTGGGTGGAAGGGCTTTAATTAAGAGAAAAATGAATGTTGACGGATGTCTAATGCATAAAGATACATTTCGATCTATCTGCCTCAGGCTGTTCACATATCTATCTATCTATCTATCTATCTATCTATCTATCTATCTATCTATCTATCTCAGGCTGTTCACATATCTATCTATCCATCTCCAAATATTTACATATATTTAGATACATTTTTCTTCCATTTTCCATATTTTTCAACACTGTTGCTTTTTTCACGGAGTGGGTAATGTTTAATGTTTTATAGTAATATACATCAACCATTGCATTTGAAAGCATAATTAAAAATTACAGTAATTTATAACAACACACAGCTTTATATAAGTACTTGTAACCCTGAACAACACACAGTTTTGTACTACTTTGACCCCTGATGATGATCCTGGAAGAAGATCGAAAGTACTTGGGAAATGGGAAATAAAGTGATTTAAACAGTTATAAGACAATTCTCACATCATTTAATGTCAATATACGTAAGGCTATTCGTGGCTATGAACGGATTTTGTTAAAAATCAGCAAACATAACGACAGTATTTTATTTAATCAAACATGCCTAAAAGAGAATTTGCTGCCTAAATACGCACAATTATATATATATATATATATATGTGCGTGTGTGTGTATATATATATATATATATATATATATATATACGTGTGTGTGTATATATATATATATATATATATATATATATATACACACAATCTTTGATTATTAAATTATATTTTTTAATCCTCTTTGGAACCTTCAAAAATGGTTTCAACTTTTTTCTTATGCCATATGGTTTAATGCTTATCTTAGTTATAGACAGAAATTATTGGAGAAATGAAATCATTATTTATTTATTTATTTATTTATTTTTTTTTTGTAAAACAACACCTCCAGTTACTGAAAATCTGCGCTGAAATGCAAAATAAAAATACAGTATATAATATAATAATGTAATTCTTTTTACGAATAAAATATATTATGGACAATATTGTCTCAAGAAGAAAAAAAAATCGATGAATAATGAATTTATCCAAGAACAATTATCATGTTTTAAAAAAAAAAAAAATAATTAAAATAATTTATAAAGTTTTAAATCTTTTAAAATTCTGTTTTAATTTGTACCGTTTTGGTGATATTGTTATCAAGAAAAAAAAAAATTTGCTAATCGCAAATGGGAAATTTAGACTGGCGTCGACATCTCATCAATTTACAGTTAAGCTAGATTGATGCAGCAGTAAATTCTGTGCTAACATTTTTTTCTTTTGCATTTCTCGGTCGTGGAACTCGCTTTCGGCTCTGTGCTTTCCAGCCAACTTTAATCTGCAAAAATTTAAATGCAATGCCAATTGCTATCTATTGTCCTCATGTTTACACTTTTCTCTTTCTGCTTATCATTACTGTTTCTGTTCCTAATCATTCCACACGATATAACCCACTTATGTTTTAGTGGCATTACTGCCTTGCACGGGGGTGATAGCGATTACAAAAAATTATAGTAAATTTAAAGTACTTAAAATTCAATAAAAATATAGATTACTGGGTAGTTAAAAATTACATAAAAAAGGCGCTCATTTTATATTCATCAAGTATTTTTTTTACAGATAAAGCCCCCGTAGAAAAAATATTTAAATTTCCCAAACATCAGCATGTCAATAGAGTTGTCAGCATCTCATAAATACGTGTTAAAATGATTTTCTGTGATATTTTTTAAACAAAGTAAATAATATTGGTTTCAAATCAGGTTGATTAACTTATGAGTCAGCTAATCATCTTCAAACAAAGTTTCAGAAAAGTATATTTTATTTTGAAAAACTTTTTTTTTTAGTAAAGAGAGTTACTTGGTGACGTAATGGCAAATACGGCTAAAATCAGCGATTTTTAGCCATTCAGTTTTCATTAGTTTTGAAATGTGTTTCGCGTATTTGAAATTAGAGCTGAAATAAAAGCTTCAAGAAAGATTGCTCATTTTAAAAAAATCGTTTAAAACTTTAGCTCTGTCTTTTCTTCCCTGTTTCACTGTATCACAGCTCATCAGTGTGCCTTCAAGCCGGGATAAAATCCGACCGATTTGACATCAATTGGTCTCTCACCCCTAGGCTATCAGCGCACACAGCGGAGAAAGTGAATTTTAAAAGCATTATATACGAAATATAAGACTTCCGGGTGACCAGAATACTCAATTCCTAGCGGAGAGCTGTTAGCTTTAATTAGCAGCAGCCGACGAATTCCCTTTCTTCCTACGAGATTGGGCGTATATAATCATCCACAGACAGATTATATATATATATATATATATATATATATATATATATATATATATATATAATGGACTCTGCCGTCGGTTTCGACGTATGAGGATCGACAGCTTATTGATTCAGTTATGAAATTTTGTGTGATAATCTTAAGTGGCATTTAAGACCAGCTAGTGATTTACAAACGAGGCCACATATGGAGCAAGAGTGAGGATTTGGAGATGAGATCACTGTTAGATTGGTTGACCTTTTAAATCTTGCTCTCGCTTCTTGAAGATGATTCAGACAAGCAGATTGAAAATTGCCGAGTCCACTAGAACACATTGATCTCCATTCTACCCGCTCCAAGTCTAAGCGCTCAAGGGTGTTATGTGGTGTAATGACAGCTGACAAGTTGCTTTTTCAGCTTGTCTTCGGATCTTAGCCATGGGCGTCCTACATAGATAGATAGATAGATAGATAGATAGATATGAACATGCTGAGATTCAAACCTTTTCCATGAGTATTTTACGCATCAGTGAACATAACGAACCCAACTGAAATTCGAACTCGGCTCACCAATTAAAAATTATGTCCATTATTTATTACACCATCCGCTTGGTATTGCCAATCAATAAATTGACACACACACACACACACACACACATATACATATATATATATATATATATATATATATATATATATATATATATAAAAATATATCTGTATAAATATTTGGTAAATATATCTGATAGAATGTGATGTCAGTGTTATTTTTTAATTTAAACGACAATTTATCCATCGCCCTATATATATATATATATATATATATATATATATATTTATATTTGGATTTGGATAGTTGTGAGTTTTGTGCCCTGGGTTTCACGCTTTAGCGATTTGTCTGACGATCGCTAAAAGCGTGAAACCCAGGGTCTAAACTCACATCTATCCAACCAAATATGTTAGCTCTGTCTCTGATATTGAGCGCTTTCTAATAAGTACCGCGCATATAATATATAAATAATTATACATATATATTTATTTATATTTATATATACTTTTCACACACACACACACACACACATATATATATATATATATATATATATATATCCTATTTACATTGCTTGGACTATCATTCTCACATTTGCTGCCATATATATCACAATGTTTAGGCCTTTCTACGCTCCGGCCTACTTTAGGTGGTTGGAATGTCGAACTGAACCCTTTATTTCGCTCGCTGGGGTAGACTGTTCTAGTTCCACGTGCCCTGTCTAAATAATTGATGTCACTTATCAGTTATCGACTGTTAATTCCCTCTGTAAGTTCTCCAATGTCTTAACCAGGTATTGAACTCACACTCTTTAGGTCCTGTCATTGGATCTAACTAACGCCTTTATCCACTGCGCCATGTGTCCTCAGTTCGACATTCCAACCTCATGAAGAATGCCGGGATATATATATATATATATATATATATATATATATATATATATATATATATATATATATATATATATATATATATATATATATATATATATATATATATATATATATATATATATATATATATATATATATATATATATATATATATAAAGATATATCGTTTTCTTTCTTTTTTTTACATGATATCTTCTTCCTATATCTAATAATCTT